ATGTAGCAGTGTTGTATTAAAATATAAATTCGTCACATTACGACTAACAGCACGCAGTCGGCACTCGGTAACGTTAAGCCATGATTTGTTGAAATTCTCACAGACGAAATTTGTAAATTTAAATTTTGCAGCGTCCTGTTGTATATTATTACGGTTACATATAATATGGTTACATATAATACGTTATATAGACTTCAAGACTCACCAACAGGCTTGGGGTGAAAAATATTAGCAGTAGTCCAACAAAAATCGTTCTACAGTTCATCGTGTTTCGACTTAATTTGACTGCCATTAGATGAAACTTCTCAATAAGAAGCTTAAATTGCAATTAATATTTTTATTTTGTATTTTGTATGGTCGACTAGACAGCTGTTTCCGCTGAAAATCTCCATTTAATATGAATTATGCATTAACTAAAATCGATCATTTGATTGGAGCATATAGCTTAATTATCATTGTAAATAATAGCTCAATAATACATTTCAGCAATCAGTAAAACGCGCCGCTGGCAAATCTGATACCCTAACCAAGAAACCTCCAACGCTTAGCAGATGCAAAATAGTCAAAACAACTGTCAAACTAGTATTAGTATATGTTAAAAAATAATGATGTTGTATACAGTGTTTTCAAAATTTTAATTCACACACATCCAAAGTTGCTGTGCTCAATTCCCTATTTTCAATATATAATATGTAAGCATATAGCCTGCTGATACTTATATTTAGATATACTCACGACAGATCTGGACCATCCTAGTATTATTCATCTTATTCATATTTCTACTCTATTTGAATGACTTAACTAATATTTTTGTAATATATTGGGACTATGCAGGCAACGTTTATAATTCATATGATACCTGAAAATTTTCTGAATTTATGTGTTTATGTTGTTCCGGTGCTATTAAATAATCACCCTAGTACAAAAATAAGAGTAATTTTCATTATTATTTGTAAATCATTTATGCGTGTCAGAAAATTATTTGAATATAGATATCGATTGACAATATTGATAGTTATATGCTGTGAGTGACATTTGGGGTTATTAAACGCCCCAATTTCTAAGTGTAGTGCGTGTTCGTTTTTTTTTTTTTTTAATTTGGAAGTGGCAATGCATTGAGATGCCAGATCGTCTGAGCACGGCTCGAGAGCAGTTGAGCTGCAATAGTCGATATGAGCACACATACTGGCAATTCAAGCACAAGATGCCAAGTTCCGTTATAAAAGTGATTGCGAAGATGATGATGAATTAGCTAATTATGAGGTGGAGATATTGCTGACGATATGTCCATATAGCAATCCTGCGAATGGATTTACAAGCAACTGATGATCAGTTAAAAACTGCATACTGCCAAAGAGCATACGTAGCATACCCTGGTACAGCCCTTAATATAGATCCTTTGTAGTAGATCTATCAATTTCAAAAGCAAATAAATAAATTTCCATATATCTAAAATACAAATAATAGATATGATATTCTAAAATATTTATTAAATTTATTATATTAATCATTTCTTTTTTTTTTAAGAGATTGTACTCAAGACAAACAATAATGCCTCTACAATTCAACTATAGCTAAAATGCCCTGAGTCGCTGCATTTGGGTTTATTGATTTATTAGATCCTCGACAAATGAGAAATATAAATCCACGGCCAATGTTAATTTTTTTACAGAGTACCACTTGGAGGCCACTAAATATTCGCCAGTGGGGAATACTAGAGGAAGATTATCCGATTGAATACACAGATCCTTTATAAACATCGGCCCCTGCAAGATTTCAGCATGAGAGTCTTAATGAATCAAACATAAAATATAAATCGCTGGCACTCACCACATAAGGGCACGTATGGTTGAAGTTGCTGTTGTCCTTCATGAGCTTAAATATTATAATTACTATCGGACTGTATGGCCTCTTTAGGAACTGGCAAGCATTGATTTTAGTCTTATATAGCCATGGCTTATATCCATTGGCCCTCTTAAATATCTGAAACTCAACGGTCACATCATGCACCGGATAATGCAGAGTAGAAAAAAAATTATACACTGTTCGTGTCCGATTGATGGCCTTCAGTCGACACTCGTTGATGGTGAGCAATGTGGCATTCATGGACTTACAAACCGCATTCGTAAATTTAAAGACCGATGCATCCTTAAATATGGAATAAGTTGCATTATGTGAAATTGTTTACTTAGCTGCGACGTATACTCACACTGTGGCATAGCAATATGACCAGAAGTAAGAAAATCATCAGCCTGGGCTCCATCGCACTGGCAGTCAAATTGATTTCAACCAGCTTCAAATGTATATGAAATCTCATTTGCATTCTTCGCTTCAGCAATTTTACTAATATTTAAAAAATTACTTCTTGTTTTTTTTTTTTTTTTTATTACAAAGCTAATGATCCTGTTATGAATTTCAACAAATGACTAAATAGTGCGGCTCTAAACATAATAGTTTTAATTGGCATTACAAAACTTGCATATAATTAGTTAATTTAGAATTTGTATATTTTGTATATATATACATATATAACTGACTTAACTTAATATTAAAATTAATATTAAAAGTATTTAATTCTCTGTGTCACTTATAAGCAAAAATCTTGCTTAATTTTAGAGCCAACCACTTAAAGTTTTTCAGATATGTAGTTCCACTTTAGGCTTGCCCACGTAGCTTGCCCATTGTTGCATGACCAAATTCAAAAATAGCAAATTTATAATTAACTTTGCTGTTTTTGGACCATAACCACACACGTGCTTCATCTGACGATTTGTATATATATACATATATATATTTATATTTATTTATATATATTTATTTATTTATTTATTTAGAATGATAATTAGATGCATTTGGAATTTGTTTATGTGTTCAGCATTTTATGATTAGTGTTTGGACTTACCAATTGAATTGTGAAATTTGTAAGCAAGAGTTAATCTTAATCTCCGAATGTGATAGATCATGAAAAAATCTTGACTGTGTCTTTTCCAACAATCAAGGATTTCATGTCAATTTCAACTGTATCAGCAGCAAAACATGCATAACTTATTATTTATTCCCTATGATATTAATACTATTAAATTTTGGAATTTACAATACAAGATACAATATATTCAATACAATTTTGATATACATTACTAAACAAAATATTTATCCTTTTTTTGTAAAATTAAAAATACTCATCTCTTATTGCTCCATAATATCTTCTATAACGAATAATATACATCTTATTGAAATGCTCACAAACCGCATTCGTGAACTTCATTATAGATACATCAACTTGATTGAGTAGTTTTGCTAATACACTCACACTGGATCAAACCAATAAAAGTAAGTGCTTTCAATTTGATTTCCATTGTAATAGAGTCTAGTTGAAACTGAATATGAATTTCCTATCGAGTGTTGTACACTGCAAAGATCATTTTTAATATTGCTCATTATCTGTTATTTAATAGAGCAATTAAAGTAATTTCTTTCATTAACGTTTCTTGTCAATGATTGAACTGTTTCGCTTGGCTTCGATTGTTGCCTTAGCCATTTGATATTATTAATGGCATCAGAAGCAAAACGCCACAATTAATATTAACAGCGAACACAAACTGTCAATACAGCTGTCGACCCGGACAGCCAGTTGACAATTGCAAATGAGGCAAACGTGGTGGGAGGGAGGGCGAAGCGGAGGGCGGGCATAAGCAAACGAAGCCACTTGCTGCCTCGAAATAAACTCATTACAGCAATTTATGCAAAATGTTCAAACCGCAATTGAAAATCCATTTAAATGAAATGCCACCAAATGGCACACACACCAACACACACAGAAATACGCCCACCCACACATAGAGAGGTCCTTTTTGGGCTGCTGAATGTGTGCAACCCCCAGCCAAATGCTGTGGTTGCTGTGTAGCTGGCGCCTGCCGCTTCCATTGAGGCATATGAATTCAATTATAAAACAGCGCCACCTTTGACGCGACGCCACAACAAAGCCATGGCAAGGGGTAGGGGCGTGGGGCGTGGTGCAAGGGGTTCGGCTGGCAGTGCCAGCTGTTGGTAAATAACATGCTCATGGCCATGGCTCTAATGAAACATTTCGGTTGTTTTTCATTTTTTTTTTTGTCAGCCATTTGGGGGCGACAAAACTTGTTAATTTTATGCAGCGCACAGACAGCCCGGAGCTCAGCCAGGACAGGAGCTGTCGCAGTTACACTTCCTGTGCCATTTGCATATTCCCATTTTTTTTTCTGTTCGTTACTTTCCTTTTGGCCTAGCTAGCCTGCGCCTCACAACTAGCGCTAAAAAGCAAATGCCTAAAGGAAGTTTACATTTTGCAACCGCAGGTGGTTAACGATACGCGCCCCCAGCGTTCAAGCAACGCGCGGCTCTGCTCACCTGCCGCCGAATGGCGGAACAACATAAATAACACAAACAAAAGGCCAGGAGCCAGAGCTAGAGCCAAGAGTCGACTGGCCCACTTGACACCTCATAATAAAATTAAGTATACGCCACGCAGGCCGGCTCCAATATTGCACGGCTTCGCTGCCTGACTCCTGCGCTGTCCGTTATTTATGCGCTCGCCAGGCGGTCTCCGGCTAACTGTTTGCCTGTCCGCCTGTCTGCCCGTAGGAGACACAGGACGCGCTCAGCGTGCAGTCCTTCAGCTTTCGCTTGGCCTTTGAAGTTTATTTGCGTATTTCAAGTGCGACCGAGGCTCATTTCAATATTCAAGCGCGCTCAGTTGTTGGTTTATTGTTGTTGTTTTTATTGCCACTGTCGCTACTGCTGCTGCTGCTGTTTTAGTTATTGTCCTTTGTTGTTGGGTGGCCTCGACAATTGTTTAACTAGTTGGTGTCAGTTATAATGAATTTTAAATTAAGTTGTTATTTTTGCCAGCATTAAACGCTGCTGCTGTTGTTTTCGTTCTTGTTGTTTTTGTAGCGAAAGCTGTTTATTTGCATAATAAAGAGGATGACTAATGTTAATTAAACTGCAGCAGACAATGAGCGAGTGAGTTTGGGGCCTTTTAATTAAAAAGCGCAAGCAAAAACGACTTCAAACTAGCTTCCACTCGATTTCAGTGTGAAATTATGTTAGGCAATCGCAGTTAACTGCTGCTGCTCTATGTAATTCTCATGAATTGAAGTCTGTTTGCCAATCGAAATAAACTGCTGCTCTTCTATGCAATTCTCATGAATTCAATTCGTTTATGTTCATTGTAAACTTATCTTATTGCGGAATCGAGCAGACTGAACGGCAATCAACGTTAACTTTTAACTGCTGTCTTTCTATGCGATTCTCATAAATTAGTCGGCAGGTCTTTAACTACGTTAGCACTTTAACTACGTAGCACACACATCTTTAGACTATACTCTAATTACATAAACTTAAATTCAAGGGAAAAAAATTATAAACAATTGATGTATAAGTCCTGCCCTTTCACGAATTTCTCATTCTTTTCTAAATCAATTTTATTACTCAATTTTCTATATTTTATTATCAATTTTAAGCTGCTAAATCATTTTGCTTGATTGAATATATATTCAATTTATTGCAGCATACTTTTAGGCCGAACTGGAATTTACTAGTTCTCAACTTGGCTTTCAGCTATTTACTTTGGCATATCTTTGCAATTAAATAGAACATTTATAGCCTAGCTCAGAGGCATCAAAACGAAAGCAGATATTGCATGAGCTGCGCTTAAAACAACTAAGTGAAGCATTGCTAAGCATACAAAAGACTTAAAGCAAACAGAAATACGTCGCTCTACCCACCCAGGCAACGCTACAAACTATTTGCACAGATGCCTCGCACTAGCTACACCTACAACTACAACTACAACAACAACAAATGCTATGACTACGACTATATCTACATGCCAACACTACAGACCGTAGTCCGGACTCCGGAGTACAAACAGCCAGATTAAATCCTTTCAAAATAACTACGCAAACGAATAGCATATGCAAATGCCCGGACTACAACGAGCTACAACAACTTTTTGCATTACTCAGATTGCCACGCCCCTGTGCCCCTGTCCTCCTGCTCCTCCTCCTTCTCCTCCTCCTGCTGCTGCCTGGCTTATGGCCCGAAAAGTTTTTGGCTTCCAGCTCATTTGTTGGTCACGCCACGCAACATGGTAAAATACGAATAGGATGCATTCAGCAGACTCTGAAACATGGCCAAAGTCATGGGGTAAACGTGGCCCGCCTTTATCTGAAAGGGAAAACCAGACTCCAAATGAAATGGAGCGCATGCACAAAAGCCTCGATTAGAATCTGCCAGATGAAATGCATGCGAGGCTCACTCACTCACCACCAAAGGCCTTTGCGTTTGCATCAAAAAGATCAGAAGAGTTCTCCGAAAAGCCATTCCACACTCCAGCCACGGCACATTGTAAACAGCCTGAGAGACGCGCAAGCTCTGCAAAGGAAAAAAGCCGTTAATTGGCTAGAGGTGCTTTTTACTGTCAATCTAGGCTCAGCTAACCTCAATCATCAAATCGTTGGCACGATTGTAATAGGTGTAGAGCACATATAGCATGGTCGAGATATACATGATTATTGAGATCATCTGCGTTTGCGAGGTGATCTAGAAATAGATTAACGGCATTTAATAAGCTTGAATAGTGGAAATTCGAGAAACTCAACTATATTTAAACAGAACAGTAGCGCACATATAATACCGCCAAAGATCAGAGCCTCGGCTCCTATGATAGAGCTGACAAGTGCTGTCAAATTACGTACATATCTGGAATTGAGGTTAGAGAGAGACTTGTATTTATATGTATATCACTAAACTTATTTATAGCAGCTTGGCTATAGGTTTTATTTTTAATGTTTTGTCATATACGTATATTACTTCAATATTAATTTAAATATGGTTATGAATAAATCCATTCCATAATAATCTAACTGAGAAATCGGTCTCAGGAAAAATATTTTATGCACTTATTTCATTTATACTTTTATATTTTTAAAGCACACTGTATAGAAATATATAATCGGAAACTATATAATAATATGGTTGATATATGTAAGTCTCTGTAACATTAAAAAAATACATGAAATGGTATTCTCCCACTTTTAATGGGTGCAGTGTATAATGAGACTCGACATCTTCAGTACCTGGCAATGGTAATGTGCAATTGAATGCAAGCAATCAACATTTGATAGCGCTGCTCCTCCGACTGCAGCTGGCCGATGCGTGACAACTTGTGGGCCAATATCTGCAGCAAGGCCCGGCCAAAGAGCGCAAAGGCCGCAAATAGACTGACAAAGGGCATGTACATGATGGTGAGCACGACGGGAGTGGGCAACTGCAGCACATAGAGTATCTGGTAGACGGGTGTGCGCTGCATATCCATGCCCGGCAGGGCAACGCCAAACGGATGGGCTGTTGGCCAGGTGGGGGCGTATTCATTACTGTTAAGCTGGAAAGCCTATCAAACATGATCCGCTTACTGCGTTGCTCCAGGAACAAAGCAAAGATTAGTGCGCCCAAAATGTCCAGAAACGAGGCCGTCAAATTGAATATGGCCAGGCGACGCGACTCGGCCACGGCCATGGCCAACAGATTTCGACTGCACTCATCGCTGGATGCCTCGATCTCCCGATAGATATGCGTCAATTGCTCCAGAAACTTCTCGAACGCCAAACGCTTCCACATGACGAACAGCGTGCGCATCAGGGCATTGAGTATGGCCGAAAAGAAGAACAGATTCAGTATGAAGGCAGGCAGATCGCCCCACATACGCAGCAAGAAGATGAACTGCATCAGATTCATCAGGCAAACGGGCAACACAAACGCGTACTTCCGCCAGCGGGTCGTCGGACTGGGATAGAGCACCGCCAGACGCCGCCAAATGCCCACATTGATGGCCACCAAAGCAATATCCTCAGCCATTACTGCACCACTTTGCACAACTTCCGGCGTGGAGCACCACTCGACACTGTGGCCCCCGAGTGCTCGGCAAATATCTTTTATTGGCGCACTCGCAAGGCGTTTAACCAATTGTCCTCTGGCAATTGGAGGCGTTGCCCTTAGCCTATAATTTGCCAAATTGGCTGTGCGACAATGCAATGCAATGGAAGTGCCAAAGTAGGGGCTAAATTTCCATTTTGTGACAGTTAGCTATTCAATTCGTAATGTAATTATAGCTAGCAGATCTTTGAATATATAATCGAATCAATATATAATTTGATTTTAATGCAGAGAATTAGGTAATAAGTATGTATGTATATATCTCATGTAATATGCATTGTTGTAAAGGAAGAACGAAATGACCTTGAGATTCAAGAACATTTAACCTGGCGGACTATAAGCGAGTCTAATGATAATTGGATTAATAAATCCCTAAGAGTCCCTAGAAATAAAAAAAAAAAAAAAAAAACAAGATATCACAACAAGGTGGAAAAAAAAAGTGAACAAACAGAAAAAAAAAAAAAACAAAACAAAAATAGTTACAAACTTAAAAATATATATATAATAAATTTTTTTTTTTTTTTTAATTAAAAATTAATAAAATTAATAAAAATTCAAAATTTCATTCTAAAGCTGTGGGTGAAATTAAACTATATATTATAGTCTCAAAAATGCTGAAAATTAAAATTGTATTTAAGCTTAAATGTTTCCTTTAATACATACAAAAAGTCCTTGGTACAACTGATGCCAAGAAGATTAAGGATTAAATCGCAAATTGTGCTCTGCATATGCAAATCCGTATTTAATTTAAGCATCGATTTTCCACACGTACAGAGGACATCATCAGCACAAAAATGTGCCAGGCGCTGCTGTTCGGTTGCTGTTCGAATATCCTTTCAAAAAGCTAACGAGGCGATAACGTGGCCAGCAGCAATCAGGCAGTGGGCCAGGCAATGAGCCAGGCAATGGACCAGGCTGCCCGGCAGTGCGGCGATAGGCAGACATGACTTATTAAACAATAAAAGCGGATTATCCGTAAACAACTGAGCAAACATGCCAGAGCCAAATATTTGGACCCGAACCGCTCGCTTATCATGTGGACAGCGGCCAGAGACAAAAACAAACAGAGCGAGAGCGACAGAGACAGAGTGAGAATAAGAGAGAGAAAGAGAGAGAGAGAGGGAGAGAGAGAGAGAAAAAACAATATAAAAATCAACAAGCGACTGGCATAACATAATTCAACAACAATGCCAGCTCAGCAAATACGGCGGGGAATTAAAATAAGACCTGGGCAAAGGCGCAGGCACAGTCACAGGAGCCGGCACTGGAGCAGGACCTTGGGGTAGACCAAGCCCATAAAGGCACACATTATGGCCACTTAACCGCGCGTTATGCCGCAAAAAGGCAAAGGACAAAGCCAAATGCTCAAGCCGAAAAAGTGCCTGCGTGTGTGTGTGTGTGTGTGGGCGTCTGTGGCGTATGCGCAATATTTCGTGCAAACATTACTAAGGGCGAGGCCAGGCAGCAGACCGCAGTTTGCCCACTCCGCTGCCAGGCAACATGCAATGTCAGTTACAGCTGCTCATGCGAGGCGCTGCACATAAATCAAAGGACAACCAAAGGACGTAAGTATCTGGTCGAAAAATGCATTTTGAAACAGCAGCCAGAATTTATTATAAATTAAAAGCTAAGCTCAGCCAAATGGACGACATTTAATTATCACATTTTGTGCAGCAGCACAATGGGGCACACACATCAAAGGACAGCACACACACACACACACAGAGAAGATTGGTCCTCGTCCTGTTAACCCTATAAGCCACAGACTGACATTAATTACGTATACTCTCAGCTGCTTGGCTGCGGCTCCGGGCTCCGGGCTCCGATTTGCAGCTGAACTTGTATAAAATTAATATCAAGCAATTAACAGCAAATTCCGTTGTGATTTAAACGATTCGTCTGTCCCTTATGGAGGCACTGCTTAAGTGTGGCAGCTCAGCAGCCGCCTCCTCTTTCGATGGACGCCCGCAATTGTGTGGGCGTGTCAATATTGACTTTAACACAATTCTAGTGGGCGATAGCTAAGCAGCTTTTTGCCAATTAAGCAGCTCACAGTAGCTTATTTTTGCTTGAAAAGAGAGAAAAAGAGAGTGAAAGAGCGAGGGAGAGAAAGAATCAGAGAAACAGTATACAGTTAGGTAGAGAGAGAGAGAGAGAGAGAGAGAGAAAGGTAAAGTGCAGGAGTTAGATGGAAAGAGAGCGAGAGATAATGAGAGAATTGCCTAGAAAGCTGAAATTGTTTTGCTAAGCTTCTAATTTGGCATTGGTATATTGTTGGGCGTAAATTGCAAAACTAGAGATGGGCAGGTGGAGTGAACTATCGTGCGTAAAATTCGATAGGCTGAAATGAATCAATTTTCTACTGCACTTAATTAGTTTTTTATATATTTAAATTATTGTATATATACGAATAGATTTTTGATAAATTTATTTGTTTTGTGAACTTGTTTATTTACTTTGTAATTTTTTTTTTTTTTTTATAAAAAAAAAAATAAGACAATCAATATTGTAAGGGTTATCTCTGCAATTTTGTTTGTTTTTTTTTTTTTTTTTTTATTTTCTGTATATGCTACTTTTTTTGCCTTTTACTTTTCAAATGATATATATGTATATATTCTCCCCTTCATACCACATCTCTAGTCCATCTCTAGCTCTTAGTTGGCCTTTGCGTCAGCTGCTCCAAGACGCCCTCTTTTCTGGCCCCCTTTTTAACAAGAACGAGTCAAGCAGCCTGGCTAATACGGCTTAGTTTTGTTAACGATTTGCAAACACGTGTGACTTGCTGCCACAGTCCCAATGCCGATTGCCGACTGCCGAACCGAACCGCCTTCAATTCCAATTCTAATGGCGATTGCGAGCAATCCCCCCATTCGCAGATAAACAACAACAATGAAACATTCGCTTTGATGATATCTAGACATGCTAGATTTGGAGCTATGTCATCATATCCCGCTCTGGCTTATGGATGTGGGCAGCCCGTGAATAAGTCAACATAAGATAATGCGATGTGATTGTTTACACAAAATAAAACCATGCAGTAAAATATATACACACATTTTTCTAAGAGCAAAAAACAAAGTTGCAATTCGCTCTCAAATTGGCCTTGAGATAATGACTGCATTCTGCTGAAACTTGAGCTCTATATAAATTAAAATATTTTACTCAATATAGTAATGGAAAAAAATTACAAAATATAATAAATTTAACAGGAGCAAACGATTTGCTTTTAATATATAAACATAATTTTTAATATATACATATTTTTAAATATTTTCATATAAAAAAGTTTACAAAATACGTATAGCAATTATATTTATATAAATCTTAGGTATATATGTATGTATATGTATATAAAAATAACAATGCTGATAAGAATGCCTAAAATTTGTTTAAAAATATTTCTGTTCAAAATTAGTACTCTATACATTCAAAAAAAAAAAAAAATAAATAAATAAATATAACATAAATACATACATATGTATATACCTATTTTAATTAAAATGTACAAAATAAATATATGGAATTAGATATGATAATTTTATATACTGATATATATTATGAAAGTTTCAGTAGTTTTATCTGAGAGCATCTAAATACATGTATGATATTAATATAGTATACGTATTTATATCTATGTGTATATATCGGGTATATGGTTAATCTGTAGCTCGCGCTGTTATAAATTAATTGCCTTAAGTGCCCAAGTAGAATAATTTGAGAAAGTTTACTTTGTCAGATTTGATGAAAATTTCATTATACAATAACAAAAAAAAAATTCAAAATAATATTAAAGTAAAAAATATAAATTATTCAATTTGTTTTTTAATCATTTCTCTTATATATATTTATGCCATGTACTTACTCTGTGAGGTTTATTAAAAATGATTAGTTTTGATTTCTAATTACTCATAAAGAAAAAATGTTTAATTTGTCACCTTATTTTTTTATGGAAATATTTATAGTTGCTTTATTTGAAATTACAAATATTTTCTGCTTGATGTTGCTTCAACCGAGCGAGCGAATAGATTACTCACTGAGTGCATTGTCGCTTCATAAGGAACTAAGTACAAAAGCATATGTACACACACATATATGTACATATTCGTATACATATATACATCTCTATATTATATAATATTGGTGCAATGAAGGCCTACTTTGGTGTCGCTGAGTTTCTCTTTGTCTGACCCACATCTCATAAAGTGTGAGGGTCTCCGGATGCGAGCTACGGCAGATTACAGCCCACCTGAGTCACCACCTTGGAGGCGATATTGCTGGCCAAACGGACGCACTCGGTCAGCGAACGTTTCTCCAGCCAGGCGTGCAGGAAGCCCGCAGCAAATGCATCGCCAGCTCCTGTGGCATCCACCAGCTGCTCGGCGCGTTGTGCTCTGAAATCCTCGAATCGTAAATCGCCGGGTGGTGCCCGCTCTGCCACATAGTTGGTGGCCAGCTGCACTCCTGCATCGCCGTTTGTGATGAGCAGGATCTTGGGCTGGCCCAACTCCAGCAGCTGGCGGGCCAGCTTCTCCACAGTCTCACAGCCGGCTACCTCGGCCAGCTCCTGAAACTCCTGCCGATTGCCGAATATGAACATCGCCCGCCGCGCCAGCTGCAGCATGTCCTCCGGGTGCTGGCGCACTATGTAGGGAGCACTGAGATTCAATGCCAGATAACGACGCTCCCGCACCAGGTGCAACAGTATATAGTCACAGACCTCTTTACGGTACGGCACAAAGAAGCCCTCCACATAAAGAATTTGCTTACGCTCGATGGGTCGCAGAAAGCTTTGTGTGTCATGCAAAGCAGCGCGCTTCAGCTCTTGAACAGAGAAGTGGGCGGATGCGCCGATGTTGGCGTAGAGCGTGGGACTGTCATTGTACATGAGGCACACACACTGCCCCGTATGCACATCGTCAACCACCTGCAGGCGTGCCTCGATGCCGCGCTCCAGCAGCAGAGAGCGCAGCTCCTCTCCATGCTTG